GAAGTTATACGAAAAACCAAAAATCATATTTCTTTTCTTTCAAGTACTATTCAACGGGCAGCGTGCCATCATTACGGCCGCATCGACATGGACATCATGACGCCCATGAAGAGGGTGAGCTAGACGACGAAGACGCTCCTAACGAAGCACTCGAATTTCATGCTAACGGCAGCTCCCACGACCACATCGGTAAGCTAATCCTAGACGCTTTTAAATAGAGAAAGGTAGTGCTTCAGTCATTCCTCAAGTATATTTTGGAAGCAAGTGTTTATGGATGTTTTTGTTTTTGTGAGTACCAACCATAAGCTATTTATTAAATTTCACCGCATACCTCTACTTTCAAAAGAAAAGCTGCTCTATTGAGGGTTCTACAGACGACACATAATTGGACGCATATTTTTCTTTCTCTCTTCTTTCGTATTGACTACGCTTCAATGTCAACTTGAAGGGATGCCTGAAGACCTAATTTAAGAGTGGCAGCAGTGCTTTGAATATACTTTTACAAGTTTCATCCAGCGTGAATTTTTGACTGCTTGGGGCATGGATTTGGAAATTTTCCTATTTTTCTCCTGCTTGGACACTGAAAAATGTGACTGGAGTTCACCCGTGTAAGTTTGTACACAAGCTACTGTAAATGAGGTTTGCGAGGACGACCGCTTACGTCGATCATGAAAACGTCTAAGCGTAAACGAATGACTATTTTTTTGTCTGCAGAAAATCATTTTTATGGAAACCCAATCTCGTATAACTTCGTATGGACATTGTGAGTCACACCAAAAGATATCAAACAATAGCTCCTTTCAAAAAATTTCATCGAGAGGCTCTTCTGGGATGATCTTAATAGAATAATGTAATAAAATCACAAAAACCGTGTGAGAACGGCTTCGGAAATGGAGAATCAAATAGAAAGCGTCACTAAAATGAGTCTTACGAACTAATTCGGCTAGTTTTTAAGGACATTGTTCTCGTGTAATTTACTTTTTTAGTCAATTTTTGGTAGTGCTAAACTTGCCTTTTTTTATCTTATAGCCTAATTTACAGGAGAACGTGTGGTGGCTGACGAAATAGCTAAGAAAGTTAGGGTCTTTTGTTGGATTCTCACTGGAAAGCAGAATCACGAAAAACGAGCGAAGCATGTGAAAGCTACATGGGCTAAACGCTGCAACAAGTGAGTGAAGTTTCTTTTTAATATATGTTAGGCCTAACACTTCAATATCTCGTTTTGGTATTATTTTTTCAGATATGTATTTATGTCATCTGAAAGCGATCCTAATCTTCCGGCAATCAATCTGAATATTTCTGAGGGACGCGATCATCTTTGGGCGAAGACAAAAGCAGCATTCAAGTATCTGCACGATCATTACTTGGTACGTTGTTCGTTTAGTTGATTGAATGAAATCCATTCATGTCATGTGCTCTTAACTGAATCCGCAGTCGTAGCTCCTTTACTCTGAAGAGCTCTGAAAAAGCTTCTTCAGAGCTTTTCTACTTTTTGCTCCCAATTCTCTACGAACTCTTCACTATCCCATATCAGGTTTCTTAAACGCCTATTTTTGTTCGTTTTGCCCCTCCATTCTCGAATACTGCCACCCTTCCCTTTTTGGTTTTCCAATTTGGATATGGTAGACTTCGCCGTATGTTCCTTCGATCATTTCTATACAGGCGGTAGAACGCAAAAGTTTTTTTTTGTTCATGAATGCTACCAGGGGTTGGGCCGCAGAGGAACTCAAAACACGCAGTTCCTCCTGCGGCGTGTGATGCACTCACGGAAATCTTGCTACAAAATATTCCTAAAATTTCCCTCAATGAGCAGAAACAACCCATTTTCCATTGTCCTCGTAGTCTTCGAATATATGAAGCATCCTTCATTGCCCACGAGCTCGGTGAGGCTCGTCTCAATTGCTTGAGCCTAAAGCAGCTGCGATCCCTCTCTCGAGTCCCTTAACGGTTTCCGGAGACAGTGCCTCTGAGATTGCATAACTACGGATTCAGAGTACATCTTGTTGTCTCAGAATCCGATGTACTAATGTCGATTAGCGGGCACTAGTCGTCCTTGGCTGGTAATAGCCTGGCTGGTATAGCCGGAATTTTTGGAGCAAAAAGACCGACCTTGTGTTCGTAGAGTTCGCCTTAGAAGTGGGAGCCAACTGCTACGTCTACCAACTGGACGATGACATTTTGCCTTGCTGACAGACCCAACGCCTTGGTGACCTCACCTTCCAGTAGAACTGAGCTCTGGCTCGTGGTTTTCAGAAACCCAATTGCCTGAAGTCCAAGAGGGTGGAAAACCATCAAAAGGCAAAATTCTTCAAAGCATAAAGTGATTTCGAGTTTTTCGATTCGTGAAATTCAAGAGTTTCGTGCTGACAATAGAAAATCGCGAAGTTGCTGAACTTAAAGTCGCATCATCTTCGCGCAGTAGAATCTTTTGAACCGTCCGTATAGCATGTTTTTATTAACTTTTGCAATCTTTTGAAATGTGCCTTCAAAATCCCAGTCGAAAAATTCCTTTTAAGGTTTGAGAAGGTTTGTTTAGTTCAATGATGAGAGTGGAGTGGAGGTGACTCTTCCTATTGCTCTATAGAACAATTAAATGGCAAAAAAGTAAAGTGATAAAGTAATGAATGATACTTTTAGAACGAATACGATTGGTTCCTGAAAGCCGATGACGATACCTACGTAGTGTTGGAAAACTTGAGGTATCCTCTTTTAGTTTCCTTTTTTTACATTTCCGATCGGAATCGACGTGCTCTTAGGTATATGCTTCTTGCTCACTCGCCTGATCAACCAGTCCATTTTGGCTGTAAGTTCAAGCCGTTCACGAAGAAGGGCTATCACAGTGGTGGTGCCGGTTACGTCCTTAGTCGAGAAGCTCTGAAGAAGTGCGTTACTCACATGGCATTCTCTCTGTAGTGTTTCTGAAGAAGAATTAAAAATCAAACAATTTTTCGAAAAGACTAACATTTTTGTAGGTTTGTCAAAGAAGGCTTAACCGATCCGAAGAAATGTTCTCCCAACCACGGCGGCGCGGAAGACGCTGAAATGGGGAAATGTCTGGAGAAGATTGGCGTCGTGGCTGGCGATTCGCGAGACGGTGAAAAGCATCACAGGCACGTTTTTCTGGGTTTTCTGAACTTGAAATGCACTGCAAATCAAAAGAACGGTCAACATGGGTAGTTGTTATTATCGCTGGGGACATTTCCGATGATGTTCGTATGTTCAGTCCATATCCCGCCGTCCGAACAGGCGTGTCACCGGGGCATCCCCGCATTGATGAAGTCGCGTGGATGAGCTGTTTCAGCATGTTTTGCTGATTCCAGTGAAGTATGTTGAGAGCAGCTTATCCGTGGGACTTCTATCAAGTGCGGCAGCCGCCACGTCTTTTCCGTTGTCACGCCTACTCAGACGGCGAGATGTGGACTTTTGTTTTGTTTCCCTTACCCCGGCGCACTACAATTGAAGAAATTGACGTGGCACTTCGATGCCATGTGAATGTAAAAGTTTCCTCTATTTCGCAAGACGAGAAGAGCGTCGAGTGCAGACCACACACCACAAGTGACGACGGCCAAGAAAAAAAAGCCACTTTTTCTTGGCCGTCGTCACTTGTGGTGTGTGGTCTGCACTCGACGCTCTTCTCGTCTTCCGAAAGAGGGTACACATGATATCGGGTTCTATCGAAAATTCGCGTTGTGTGCCACCGTGAACCTTGTTGCTGGAGCCAGAGTGTACGTATGTAGTGATCCAAAGGGTTAAAATCCA